ATTTTAAATTTTTGACCTAAATTTGAATGTTTATGCATGTGGTTTAAATGAAAATGATATTTTTCTAACAATTGATATCAATTTTTTTCAAATGCATAACATTTTTTTTTTGAAAACTTTATGCATAATTCAACAATTTGTATTGCATAAAGTATTTTAGACTTGGGTACATTGAATTTCATGTGCTACTAACATGTTTGTTATTCTTTGTTGAAATTTAATTTTGTTTAAGTGTCAAGATCCTAAAAGAATAATTTTATTCGGAATGCATTTATTGAGGGGGAGCTTTGATTTTTCAAATGATTTTTAAAATGTCAAATTTACTACTTACTCTCCAAAGTTATTTTGAACTTCAAATATTGAATTATTTTTGATTTAACAAAAAGGGGGAGAAGTGTTAGAGTAAGGGGGAGTAATTTTTCAAACTTGATTTCAAAAATGATTTTCAATTAGAAAATCTTAAAATTACTAAAATGTTTTGTTATATCAAAAAAGGGGAGATTTTTTAAAACATTTTGATGTTTCGATATAACAAATTAAGTGTTAATGAATTTTAAGATTTTATAATGAATTTTAAATTATTCGAATATCAAAATATTACTCCAAGTTTTTCAAATGTCAATTTCAATCCTTACTCAAGTGTAAGATTATGTTTTAATCTTAAAATATCTTTTTAAACAAATTTTACAAAGTATTTCGAGCCTTAATCGAGCCAAAAATATTTTCTTTTTAAAGGGCTTCCAGAAAAACCAAATTGCCCAGAGGGAACAGATTCCCCCCAGGGGATACCGATTCCCCGGGAACAGATTCCCCCCAAGAGGGTATCGATTCCCCCCCAGATTTTTAGCTCCGAGAGAAAACAGAATGTCCAGAGGGTACCGATTCCCCCAGAGGGTACCGATTCCCCCCAGGGGTATCGATTCCCCCCTGTGTAACGGTCGAAATATTTGAATTTTACACTACATGAACCAATTCCTTATGAGGGGGTACCGATTCCCCCCACGCTCCAAGTTGTTTTATTAATTGATTCTCATCCCCAAACGGCTCCAAAACATCTCCAACTGCTATGTACGACTTCAAACACATTCCAACCTATAAATACAAGCTAAGGACACTTGAAGAAGTAAGAGAACAACTATCCAAGCAATCAAACACAAGAGAAGAGTTTTTCATTCTTATTTCATCTTTCTCTTGTAAATATTTTGTTCTTGTGAGTTTAATTCTTGTAAACACCTACCTTAGAGAGGTTTTCTTGTTTACATTTCTTATCCTTTTGTAAAGGGGAAAAGTTCTAGTTCAGCCCGGAAAAACTAGGGAGTTGTAAGGTTATCTCTTTGTCCTCAAAAGAAAGAACAAATTAGTGAATTTGTTGGAAAATCCTTGGTGATGAGCTAAGGTAGTGGACGTAGACTTTGGTTGAGAAAGTCGAACCACTATAAATCGTTGTGCAATTCCCTATCTTTCAATCTCCTTACTCCCTAAACACAAAACCGTTCCGACTCCTCTTTGCAAACCATTCCGATTGTCGATTCGAGCTTCCGAAAATCCCAACACACCCGTCATCACCATCAGTTTCACTAATAGCTTCGATTTTATTTTCGAAGGTAGTCCTAAGTTGCTTATTATTGGGTACTTGGTCTCAAATTTGTTTAGTCTACAACATAATGATGTTGTACTGAAAAAGTTTTGCAAATAAACATAAAACATAAAACATAAAACGATATGCTATTATCATGAAATGTGTAACTTCATATTTTTCCATTGTTTTCTTTATTTCATTACTTATTTGTTCATTTCCATTCAATTAACATTATGCAACTAGTTCCGTAAAACGTTTGCAATTCATTCTAACGGCTTGTCTTCTATTTTGGGACATGTTCTCTTTTTGTAATTCTTAATCAACTCTGTTTGCTAGTGAAGAACAAGATAATGGAAACGAACAAGACGAGATAAATGGAGTTGAATGGGGTTCTCAAGGCAATGAGTATATGGCTAATCTATGTGATCACATTGCTAATCAGTTGTTTTTAAATGCTTCAAATTAATATCTTTCTTTTGGGTTGATTTGTCTAGAACAAAAAAAAATGCTTGTTATGTATTTTGTTTCATCAAAAACATAAACCACTCTTTTATGTCATTTCATGTTAGTAGATTTGTTTATTATGAATGTTGATAATTTGTCTAAAAATGTGTTTTTAAGTTACTTGATTTTATATTTTGTTATGATTGTTGATAATTTTAACAAAAAAATGTGTTTTTATAAACATCAAAAAATAAAATATTTTTTAGCATTTATTCACAAGGTAGAAACAAATATATTTTATTTTGGCACAAAATCATACAAAAGGGTAATATGGTCACTTTTTATCATTCAGACCGGTCATTCATATGTATTATTAAACAAATTTTCTATTCAGAACTATATCATACATAACCTTTTAATCATTCAGACTATTAAATCATTCAGACTATTAAATCATTCAGTGTTAAACTATTATGTTTTAACAAACAACCCCTTGAACATAATATAAAAAACGATGCGAGCAAAACACTTCCCCCTTCCACGCTATCGCTATACCTGTATTAATATGGTTGAAATCATGAAGACCGATGACTTCAGATTTTATTTAGTTTCCACCTCATTCCCTGTAAACTAAGAAAGATGGTCTAAAGTGATCTGGAAAAAAGGATTTAGGACGTGCCGCCCAAATCTAAATGACCCCACACACCATGACTTTATGGCACCCACCCGGCCACCCCCAATTTATTAATCTGTTTCTTCCTTGAATGAAGAATCATCATGTCTAGTGTAATAATCAATCCCTTGATTTTATCATTTGAATTTATATTCCAATATCCATTCATCTAATAGAATATTCTGTCTATATTAATTATTTTTTTATATTATTATTTATAATTTCTGTAGTAAGTTAGATTATAACTGAACTGAATTGTATTATAGAATAATATGTAAGAGAATTAAGAGATGAAAGAGTTTCTAATACTTAAATCAATAATCTAATAAGTAATGGTATGAGATCATACAAGGTTTTAAGGTTGCTCATTGCTAGCAATTTAAGGTCTTACGTTTTCGTGGATCTGAACCCTTGTTGGGCTTGATGTCCTTTGTGGAGTAGAGGCTCTTTTAGTTGTGCCTCTATAACAAACTTTTGTGCCTTTATATACCTTTGGTTGTGCTGGGGAATAATCACGTATGACAGTTTTAATATATGATTAAAAAATACGTTATCGGTTTTGTTATTATTTAAATAAAAAATCGATAAAAAATTACCAGAAATATTATTATTTTTTACCGGTTTTGTTATTATTGGGCGCTTTATCGGTTTTGTTATTTTTTCTACTAGTTTTGTTATTATTAGACACTTTACCGGAAATGTTAAAAAACATTGATGTTTTAGGTAGAAATAATAATTTTTTAGATAATTTTTTACCGATTTTATTATTTAAATAATAACAAAATCGATAATACTTTTTTTAACATTATATTAAAGGTACCGCAATGTAAAACTTCCCGTTGTGCTTGGGTATCCGCAATGTAGAACTTCCCGTTGTGCTTGGGCAATCAATACGGTCCAGTTTTATTGCCACATAACAATACTAAATACAATTTCTATTGTGTTTTTTATTCTTTTAATTTTGTATATAATTATTGGTGTTCATTTTTATTGCCACATAACTAGTGGTAATGAACTTTAGCTTTTTTTTTTATTATTTTGAAGGGTTAATATACGTTTTGCTATTTTTTTTAGATAAGTAAAATTTTATTATCTAAAAGAAGAGTTCAGTACAAAAACATCTCAATCAAGGAACAAAGACAAACTACTTACAACAAAAAATGGTTAGCCTATACCTCAATTGTTACAAAGAAAAAATATTAACATTATCAAGTCTATTAAAATTTTTACTTCTAAGTTTAATGCCAACAATCTCCATCATGGAGCTTAACATCTCAACCGTTCGAGCCCTTCCTTGGAAATAGTCTTCTATTTCTTTCCTCCCAAACAATGTAAATGAAAGCACACCAAACAATATTCGTGATGGTAATGAGGAGAGATTTATGTTTTGCTACTTGAACTTGACTTCAACATTCAATTTGGCTCGTAATTGGGCACCTAAATTTGGCTTCAAAGTTCATTGTAGTACATACTTTCTTTTATCCAATTAGGTGTTTGAGCTCGTCTTTTGTTCAATTTAATACATAAATTTGATTTCTTGGTTTAAACTGTATCAAAGTTGTACGTATCAATTCAAACTAAAAAAATCAAATTTAAGTATCAAATTTAACCAAAAAGTTAAATTCAAATACCTAATTAGATTAATAGAAGGACCAGGTACCAAATTAGACTCTTGAACCAATTTCCAATATCTAATTGGATAAAAAAAAACTTGGGATGAACTTTGATACTAAGTTCAGGTACTAAAATATACATTTACCCTGCTTTGAATAACAAAATTAACAGACGAGTCAAAGCCAAATCCGATTCAGACTTGGTTAGACATGTGGTGTTTTTGAAGCCGGGTCCCGAAGTGGCTGTGTGTCAATCCCAAAGTGGTTGAGCGTCAATTGTCGAAAAGCTTTGAGGATGAAAATTGTGTCCTGCTTGAGTTGGGTCAAACACGCTTGGATCTTTTCTAGGGGTCGCCTGTCTTATTCAGACAACATGTTAGTGTCGTGTCCTTTTGACAAAAATTTATATAAAGTGCATCAATGCTGTCCACGTCACTTTGATTCAAATTAGGCCCCGCTGCACTTCCGTATTAGATTTTCTAAGCAACAATACACATATAAACCTCATTAACTATGTACATATCCAATTACTAATACAAGAAGGCATATTTCAGTACTTAAATATCGATATAAAATTTTATATTAAATTTTCAGTACTCAACTATGTACAAACCTCATGAACGTGTTGTGAGAGTATAGAAAATTTGTTAAAAAATATTTATAAAGAAATATTATGATTCAATTATATACTTCAAATGAAAAAGGTACATAATGATTTCGATGACGAAATTGAAAGTTTATAGATTACTATATCTATTATTGAAGATAGTTTATGGAATAAAAGAAGTGAGTCAGGCCACTGTATTAGGTGTGCCTACTGCCATTTCAGTCTCATTCTTTGCATCTTCCTGGATCGCCATTTCTCTAGCTTTTGAAGCCTGCACTACCCACAAATGAAACTCAATATATATTACATGATTAAAGGGAACATATTCTACGAGTGCAAAGTTTGAAACCTGTTTTTTCCAGTTTATGGAAAGCGAAATGATGGCCATCATGATGGCTTGAAAAGCAGTGCCGGTTGTCAATCCAATGAAAAGCCCTTTAACTTTGAAATGTAGAACGAATGCAAGAACTGCACCTAATGGGGCTCCTATTACATACGCCCCAACGTTCACAATGGCTGCCATCTTCTGCCACCCACATCCTCTTGCAACTCCTGAGAAACTAAATCACGTTTAATGCAAATGCCATCTTTTAAACATGTGTTCATCACATGAACCAACCAACCTGAAAGCACAGCTTGAAAACCGTCCAAAATGATTGTAAGACACACGATGGGAACAATGCCAGCCACATGATCTACGACTTCTTCGTCGCTGCTGAACGCGTACCCCAATATGTTGCGGCAGGAGTAGAGAATTGTGGCCGTGATAATCGTCTCCATCACTGAAATGCATACCAGTATGCAAACAGCCATCTTGGCTGCTTGTGCGTTACCAGCGCCCAGTTCATTCGCAACCCGAGTGCTATAACAATGAAAATCAGAACCTTTCTTCAACCACAAGTCATCTATGTATTCTACTTAATCATGAGGTTGGAAAACAAACCTTGTAGTTGCTCCTATACCATAAGGTATGAAAAAGTGCAGATAAGTAACTGCCAAGCTGCGCACAACTAAAATTCACAGCCTATGTAATTGGAAGGAGAGTATAGAAATCAAGTATTTGAAAGAAGGATACCATATAGAAAGCACCGAAGCCTCAAGTTTTGGATTTGGTAGCAGCCCTGAGAGAAAAATCAGAACCTCGGATCCCCACCATTCAAGACTGCATCATCGGAAAACATGAGAAAATCCGTTAGGGCATAGCTCGTATGATATAGTCGTAACTAATGTTACGTTATGATGGTCATTTAAATCCCATGAAAGGAATGCAAGAGAATTTTGTAAAAGAAAAACTTTACCAAACCATTGCAGCTGAAGGTATAGAAAGGCGGAAAAACACTCTGGTGCTGTGGAAAACTTCTTTGGAGAAAGCAGAACGAGTTTTATCACATTTTGAGGAAAATTTCATATAAAAGGCAAGAAATACCACATTCAAAAAAGTCGATAAACCTATCGAAAACGCGGCTCCGATCGTCCCTAACCCCGATTTAAGCACTAGTGCCCAGCAGAAAGGTATGTGGAAACACAAAGCTGCAAGTGAAATATACAACATGGGAAGAACCAAGCTTTGGGTCTGAAAATATCGAACCAGTGCTTGAAGTATGGCGTATCCATATATGGCAGGGATGAAAGCAAGTGCATATCTGTAGGCCACATGTGAGATTGCAGGGTCTTGGCCTATAAGTATCAGTATCTTCTCGGTGAAAACCCAAAGAATAGTTATCGGAACACAAACAATTAAAAGACTGATAATTGCAGAATAAGTATAGGTCCCAAGCTTCTGATACTGCTCTGCTCCATAAGCTTGCCCGCATAGAGTTTCCAATGCCCCAGACATCCCAAACTGCTTGAGTATAACAATAGCTAGTCAAACAATCCATGGGAAAACGGAAAGGGTTGTTGTTTGAGGAGTTTACCAGGAAGCACTTTCCGGTGACGATAATGAAAGAAGTGGCTATGGATACACCGGAAAGTTGAAGTTCACCCAGATGACCAACCATTATTATTGACACGAAGGGCAAAAGCTGCTGCAACACCGAGAAGGCCACCATGGGAGCAGCTAAGAGCCCCACTTTCTTCAGCTCCTTCAAAGAGACGATCCATTTCTCATCCATAATTCCTTCCTTCAACCTCTAATAATTGCAATGCCTACGATTAGTAGGAATAAGAACGAAAAGAAAAGGGCGATAAATGACAATTTTTTTACTAGCGAAAATTAGCAGGTGGGCACTGCTTTATACTCTTTTACAACCTGCTGCTTTTTTTAATTATTAAAAAACTCAGTTGAAAATCCGCTAGTTCGAAAATTTGTTGATTTACTTAACGTTGTTATGTTAGGGGCAATGGGACCATGGTGGGGCGTGCGGCAGCCGCGACCGGAGGTGACATCCATTAGATATTGAGACACGGCCACTTGATTAATAACATCTTCATTTTTTTTCTCATCTCCATTAGATATTGAGACACGGCCACTTGATTAATAACATTCATTAGATATTGAGACGGCCACTATACATTATCCACTATCAACCACACATTACCTGGTCATTTTCCACTTAAAATAGACGTCTTATCCGTTATTTTTTCTTCTTATTATTAATTATGATTATAATCTTTATTATTTTTTGTTAAACTAGTCAATTGATGTTTTGTGTACATGTTGATCTAGCATGTGTAAACTTTCACACTGTGAGTGATCTGGTTTTGGTTTCTGTCATGACCAATCTTTATTCTTCTTACTTTTGTTTATTTAAATAACTAACACTTTAGTTGAAAATCCTCTAGTTCGAAAATCGTGATATAAACTTGTATGACATTTTGATTCTCAAAATTTTAAAAAAAAATTATAAGTTAATTATACTTAATCATCTAGATATATTTATGAGGATGAACACACATATATATTAACTTTTGTATGAGGTGGGAAAAAAAACTTTGGACGTACACAATCAATAAAATATATGATTATTTAAAGAAAATTTGTATTTCAATACTCACCCTCAATAAAACGTGAATTTGTCACTTGTATCTGTCCACGTATCGATTTTGATTTTGTTTTGATATTAATATATGATTGTGATTATACATTTTGATGTATGAGTTTATTTAAAAAAATATATCTGTACATATATAATTAGAGTTGCATATGAAGACTTTTATATGAATTAAAATTTATTATTATTTTTGAATAATAGAGATGATTACAAGAAAATATATTCAAAATGAAATTATATTGTTAAAAGATCTATTATATAAGACTAATTTACATTGCAAAGAAAACGTTAGATTACATGATTTGAAGGAGTAAGTAATTCAAATCATGTATTAAATATTGGGGTAAATAACTCAAATGGTCCTCCAACTATAGGGATTGAAGTAAGATGATACGCAGGAAAAGAAAATTGAGAAGGCGTGAGAATATCAGAGATAAAGTGGCAGATACTCAACATTGAAGGAAGAGAACAAGTCAAGCAAATGAAATATCTCTGTGTATTTCTCATCAATAAACGAACAATTAAATGACTCATTCATTATGGTTACAGTTGTGCACAACAATACACCAGAACATTCTAGAAAAGCATTAGAACGACAAAGAAAGCAGAAAGCAAAATAGGAAGAAAAAAATTGGGCGTAAGATCATATATCTAGGCCCTTACTCTTCTTCATTAATGTAGCTCACTCCCTTCTTTGGGTCAACACAAATAGTTTGACTCACTATTGAAGAAACGGGCTTAACAAACAGAACCAACAGCTTGAAAACCACCTTAACCAACTCTTAAAATAGTAGATTACTTTATTCAGTCTTTCGATTATTAAAAGTTATAAAATGGTACTTCGGTAATAGAGTGTTGCTTTATTGAGTTCCTCGACTATTAAAAGTTAAAAATCATAATCTGACTATTCATTATGTTCTAGACTTATCCTGGAAGTTGTTTCAGTTGAATGTTAACATAATGATTGATATATGATACTCGTTTGAGATATTGGTATCAAATTTTATCATATCACAGTCAACAAGTTAATGTTTAGCTCAGAATATCGTCCTCTTTTTAACAGAAAAGGACGAGTTTGGAACATAATGAATAATCGGGTGACCATTTTGTAACTTTTAATAGTCGAGGGACTCAACAAAGCAACACTCTATAGTTAAAAAACCATTTGCGTTTTTTACACTGAATATTGTAACGATTTTGATTGTATTTGTTATGAACATATTATGATAAATTTTAGTGTAGATAAATCTATTTAATTGATTGAAAATATAACAAAGATATTAACTGATAAATAGAAGGTCGAATTATCTCATTAATCAATGTTTTATGTTCAAATTACCGTTTTATATTTTGAATCAAATAGTATTGAGATAATACGATTGAATATAAGTAATTTCTTTCTTTAATAAAAGTCGGAGAAAAACAATAATCTATCAAAAGGTAGCTGAAAACGTGACATAAAGACATACATAAACGTGTCATAAAGGTAGAGAAATATGTCACAAAGACATAATTATTATTATTAAAAAAACTAAAAAAACAAAGAAAAAAAATATAATCAGCAGGTGACAACCAACATCCAAATCGCTGTCGTCGCCGATTAAATAAAGTTAAAGAAAAAAAATTAGATTAATCAATAAAATTGATAAAAGAAGAACAAAAAGAGAAGCAAACATAAATTATTAAATAAATGTTGAGTAAAAAGTAATTTAGAAAACGACTAGTGATGAACAGTTGGGGAGGTTAATTTGATGTAACGATAACAGTTTTAAACCCTCAATGGAGCCTTGAAGTGGGATTTGAGAAAGAATAAAAAAAGTATCAATGAGAACATAAAACAAGTATTCAATTTTTTTTATTTTAATGTAAAATAGACACTACAATGTTAGTTTCACTAGTTAATGAACTGATGTGATACATTAAATTAATAAATAATATCTCATTTGATATTTTAATTATAATACAAAATTTTATTTTTTATATTTTATTTTTAATTAATAATTTCAAAATAAAAATGAAAAATTAAAATATATGAAAAATTACAAAATCCCAAGTTTTAACTGAAGACCTCTCTTTGGATTGCTTTAATGACAAGTGGCGTTTATCTGTACCACCTCCATTTTCATCTCTTCCTTGAGTGACAATCGAAGACCTTTATTTGGATTGCTTTATTGGTTAATGTCAAAATTAATACACCCTTGAAACAAGGTACATCACTCAGGCCACCCCTTTCCTTATCTTTCTAATGTCCACGACACTTTTATGATACTTTCTTTTTTAACATTTATTAACTAGGAGAAAATAATAGAAAATAGTGACGACTCCAAAAATATTTTCTACACGCACGTATATATTTATTACATAAATATTTTTATAGGGTGAATAGATAAACTTTTAGAGTAAACATCATTAATGAAATGAATAATTAATATAAAAAGTTTCGAATTTTATAGCGAACATGTGTCTGCATCTTTAAAAATTAATGCATAACGATAGCAATTAATATAGATAGGTTTAGTTGATTGAGACTCATCAGAGGCTTTGCAAGTATCAGTGTTCAAGTTGTATTAGTATTTCATTTGTTTGTTCATACGTAATGCTAACCCTATATCTTTAGACACGTCACTTTAAAAATCACGTTTTAATCCCTTTAAAATGTCATGAAATTATAAATTACTACAATGATAAAATTATAATTTGATTTCCAAAATTTTAAACGTTAATTATTATGAGTGTTAAAAAAATTCTGATTTTATCTTTGCATATGACATATGTTAACTGTGGAGTTAGAGAGGCACATAGCTATAGAATGTTCTGGTAAAATGCTTTTTTTTAATAATGAAAAAGAAAAGATTCAAATTTGGTACACAAATCAATTACAGCAGTAACATAGTTGAGGAATGCTCTCGGTCTTATTGTTGCCATACTCACTTGGTGCAGCATGTTTTATCTCATGGTGACTAATGGCTTGCCATGCACAATAGTTGCCTGCCTATATAGACAGAGTAGTTAAGCCCTTCATGAGGATGGAAGGTTAGGCAATATTATTGATAACCTACGAAAATTATACCAAACTTCCACTCCATACCCTAAATTTTCACTTTCCGTTTTATGATTTATATCCAATATTTAAAGTTCGTGATTATTTTTTCTATTGAAATTTGATAGTTGTTAATTATAGGCTTAATATCAAAATAAGTGTCCAAACTATATCACTTTTCCCGAATATGTGCTTAAATTATTTTCTTACCCATCCTGGTGCCCAAAGTTACAATTTTAGGTACTCGGGCCGTTAACGGTGTTAATTTTCCCCTGTTAAATGATAGTGTCACAATCTGATAATTTTAAAAATTTTATTTAAAATTTAAAATTAAAATTATATTTTTAAAAAACAAAAAATTTGAAATAACCCCAAAACTTTAGAAACCTTCATTTCAACCCTTAACCCACTCGGCCACCGCCCTTTGTCGTCAACGAAGTTCCTCCCGACCTCACCTCCCCCGATGACCAAAACCCCCAATCATGATCGATCGACGACCGATCGACGGTGAATTGGCATTTTATACCCCGTGAACTATAGGATGAAAATTGAAATCCCACGATATTTCGACGGCCAAAGGCGACAACTACGTCGTATGCCTAGGAGGATGGCAAGGACCACGTCGGTTGTGGTGGTTGTGGCCAGAAAGGGCTACACCGACATGTTAAGGTTAGGATTTGAGGATTTTAAAGATTTTAGAACTTTTTTATAATTTAAGAGGGGTTAGGGTTTTTTTATATATATAATAATATTTTAAAAAATAAATTTTAAAATCATCATATTGTGACACGTGTCACTTGATGGAGAAAATTAACGCTGTTGACTACCAGAACACCTAAAATGATAACATTTGTAACGTTAAACACCGAGATGAGTCAAAAAAATAATTTAAGCACGTATTCGAGAAAAACGGTATAGTTTAATCGATTGTTTTGATATTAAGTATTAATTGTATACATTCTCGCTTTTTGTTCAACCCATTGAATCAGAAATGATAACTTATCTAATTTATTAAAGAAAATTGAACCGATAGTCTAAAAGTACGATTATATATTAAAAATGTTAATACTACTTTTAAAATTTAACTATGATAAACCGTGAATAATATTATTTATAAATAGGGATAAACCGAGGGGCGAGTGGAGATAGTTATTTTTTAAAATTTTAAAATTGCTTTATATTTTAGATTTTTTCTATGTTTTTCTATTAAAAAATTATTTTCGTCTCCTAAAATTTTATAAGTTTAAGTTCGTCCCTAAAACTTTATAAATTCTAATTCACCTCCCTTAACATAAAATCATGCATCTATCACAATTCCAATATATAAAGATTAGCGATCATATAAAATAAGATGCATTATCCATTAGGTTTCCGTTCATTAATCTTCATTCTCAGAGTGAATTTATACATATATAATTGTTCTATTGTTCACCCCCCCCCCTCTAAGTTAAAGAAGCAGTGTATTTAATTATTATTATATTAAATAAAGAATAAAAAGAGGTGGGAGTATGTTGGTCCTGAAAAAAGGCCTTTGAAATTAGACCATATTAAAAGGAATGATAAATTATTTTATTTGCTCAGTATTGTCGATAATTTTTTAAAGACAAATAACTAAATGAAACTAAAACATAATGATAGACATGATTTTGAAAAAAATTAATAAACTAAATGATGAAAATGAAACTACACAAATAATTGGATAGCTAAATAAGTAATTTAGCCTATAATCTAATACGGCAGGCATGAGCAAGCTACGCTTCTGGATTTCCTCGGTCTCTGGAACATTCACAGAAAGATCTCAAAATTTCTCTGTACTTGTTATTCTCTCGTCTCCTCTCCCAAATTTTATTTCTTCAACGCAAAAGAAAGAAAGAAAGTTAAAGAAGCCTAAGCGTGGAAAGATGGCGTCGTTTGAGGAAGCTCCGCCTGGAAATGCAAAGGCAGGAGAGAAGATATTCAAGACCAAGTGTGCGCAGTGCCATACCGTCGACAAAGGTGCCGGCCACAAGCAAGGTACCCTCTTTTTCTTTCACAGATCGAAATAGGCTCTGCTTGTATTGAGGCATTTCAATTTGTTCTGAAATTCTAAGTTTGGAGTTGAATATGTAATATGGCTTGTTAGGACCCAACCTTAATGGTCTGTTTGGAAGGCAGTCGGGTACAACTCCAGGCTACTCCTATTCGGCTGCTAACAAGAACATGGCTGTGATTTGGGAGGAACACACTTTGTATGATTATCTGCTCAACCCTAAGAAGGTACTTCCTCTCTTTCTCTATAAACCCCCCCATTCCCCCCCTATTATTTTGTGATAATATAACTCAATTTCCTCGTTCTGAATGGATGCATTGAGATTTCAGCCCACTTTTGTGTGCGGGTAAATAAATGCGCATGCATTGCTGATTTTATTTGCCTGTTAATTCTATACTAGCCTGTGTTTGAACCGTAAACATGTATGAACTAAATATCTCAAGAACAAAAACTACTATATATGCATCCTTAGTCTTTTAGTTTTGATCGAGAAAATAAATCTCGTCTTGTCCTAAAATTCTCGTACAGAATAAAAAGAAAAACAAGATCACTACAATTTTATATAATTAATTATTAAATCAATTTTTAAGTATTTATAATTATGTTTCTCATCAAATTATAAATTCTTCTTATATTTATATTTTATTTTCATGACATATGTATACGTGTAATATAATTAATCATTTAATTTTGTATTATATTTTATAATAACATTATACATATATATATATATACTTTCTACTATTAGATTCTAATCTAACAGCCCCCTTTGCTATTTCTGGCTGTGGCGGAATCATAGCTTGGTGAAGGTGGACACAAATCTACCTTGAAATTTGAGTTTTTTCGATAAATTATTTATTTTATTGGTGGTGTCCGTCTTAAAATTTTTTGTACCCACCTAGTAATATAAGTTTTCTTCAATTAGTTATTTATTTTACGGACGGTGCCCACCCTTGAATTTTATTTGTACCTATACCATTTAAAAAATTTATGTTGTTAACGTACGTGTGCTCCTGAAAAATATTTTTAGATCCGCCACTGATTTTTTGTATATAAATACTAAATCATTTATGGTTTATACCTATCTATGATCTGGGATTTGATTTTGGTTCATAGGAGACTTGTGCTTTCCTGGTTTGGAATGTAGAAGCTCGGGGAAAAAACTGGAATTCTCCCATTATTTGTGGGTGTATGGGTGGTTTAGGGTGAGATATTTGCGTAGTTTGAATCGGCGATGCTGAGGACATGTGAGAATTTGTGGACTGTCATCCCGTGTCATCGATGTTTTTACTTATCTAAACATTTTGGTAAAAACAATTCCTTCCAGTTTAGTCACTCAACTTTTAGGTCGCTAATGTTTTGATCATCCAAGCATTAAACACTTAACGACAGTTAACGTTTTGGTCACTCAACTTTTAGGCACTAACATTTTAGTCACTAAACGGCACTTGAGTGACCAAACCATTAACACCCTAATTAAGTAGTTTATCCAATATAAAATTGATGTTGGACTCAAATGGTATTCTGTTTGTTGCATTGGTTTGGATGGCATTGCGAAATTGTTTTTTCATTTTGGCTTAAATTGATAGTAATTGGTAAAATTTAATGTGCAGTATATTCCTGGAACGAAAATGGTGTTCCCCGGATTGAAGAAGCCACAAGATCGTGCCGACCTGATTGCATATTTGAAGGAGTCTACGGCATCCTAAATGGGCTTCTAGCAGTAATATATGCAGTTTCCATTTTGCAGTCATTGGAGATTGTTTCAGTTTCAGAACACAAGAATAAATTAGACCTTTATAAGGCTTATTCAATTAGATTGGAACCGTATTTGATGAATTCCTGGTGAATTACCAGTCTGAGAAAGATGATTGTGTTTTCAGACTATTTAAAGATTGCACATATAAATAATATTACATCTAGAATATGAGCAGAGGCCAGCTGCCTCACCTTGTTAGATGTTTTTGTTTGTCATATAATAATATTCTTAGTATTCATTATTATTAGAACATAATAACTCCAGAGCTTTCCCTTCCTACTTGCTCCTAGCTTTAAAATAATCCGTGCAAGTAAACAAAACAAAGAGAACGACAGTAAGTTCGAAGACAGCCAGAGGCACAGAATGAACTTTGTCAGCCGCTGTTTTAAGATTTTGGCTCCGGCTGTGCTTGTGCCGGCCGAGGCCGAGCAAGTCCGGGGATCTGCAGAACAACGCATACATATAATTCAGATATGAATGTATCAAACACCAAATAATAATTTATGAATGTCGGTATTCAATTTTGTGCTGAGAGAGACTGAAACATATGGAAGCCATCTTTGCGAGTCATCCAAATCAATCAAGAACTTTAAATGATAAAAGATACTTGAGTATAATTAGAGAACCTTTTGCCCGCACAATACATTTTGGGAACAAAATACAAACCTCGACTCCGTGAGGACCAATGCGGTTGCGACCTATAAAATTGAGTATCAATGCAGCAAATTCTTCGGGTACATCCTCCTACCAAGTCAACATTTAGAAGTTTCAATTAAACATAAACAAAATATACCAAAACAGAACATCTGAGGAAATATAATTGATGTGAACCTGAATAGCATACATTTATAAGTTTCAATTAAACATAAACAAAATATACCAAAAAAGAACATCTGAGGAAATATAATTGATGTGAACCTGAATAGCATGCCCTGTATGTCTGACAACCACCATCTGAAACTTGCCTTGCATTTGACCTATTGTGAGTGCTCTATTATGCAAAGTAAAAGGAAAAACAGAAGTTAACAAATTGTAAAAAAAATCATTATAACTTTCTCGATCCTTTCCAATGCCACATGCTATAAGAATCCATCACTTTGGTTACAATGGCATCTTTCATTCAAATGCCAAAGAAGAAAAACTTTTATAGAACTTCTTTCAAGAGTGATATCAAAACAAAACCCTATGACTCTAAGGGTGTCGGATTCAAAATTTTGTCTTGGAACTTGTGATATTTGGTGGACCAAACCTCAATATCCATGTCCAGTGGATATGACTCGAACAGAAGTGTATTATGAACAATGGATAGTTGGGTCAACATAAACCATTTTACCTCAAAAATCAGAGATGATATAAAAGTAAAAACCACTAGAAGTGCTGATCTATTCATGTTACTAGACAAAAACTGGTATGTAGAGGAAAAACATGAAAGGACTGTAAAATTAAACAGGCAGGGTATTAACAATAGAACGAGACAACCGTCAACCTGTCCAGTCTGTCAGTGCCGGCTAATAGCAAGAGCTTTGGAACAGGGGAAGATAGAAACTTCTCTGAAAGGCCATCATACCTGCAAGACAGCGAAGTTAAAAATGAAACAAGAAATAGCACCATAATCATTGAGATCATTATATGAAAGAATTTATCATTGGATGTTTCAAAAATTTGAAAGGACTAGTAATTAAGGCTGGTTTTCGTTATTAAGAAATAAGGAACTGCCTTTCCTTTATGAACCTTGATAAGCTTTCAGTTCAACCAATTGATCCAACAAGCACAATAGGTTGACCTACATTTCAGTCGGTATTTTTCTCCCTTTCCTTTTCCTCTATCCTCACTCTTTAGAAAGATAGATGAAACAGTACTACCCATTGGAATTTTTTACAGATGACATATGCTCTACTTTAATATGCTGCTAGGTTAGTTAGTTACACGTGTATGAAAACATACATAAACATGTTTACTACGAAAACAAAATGCAATGGAAAAATACTGAGACCTCTTAAGTTATCCAGCACACCTTAACAAAGATTCATCCATGCAATTTGTTGTGTACGACATAAACTCTCATTCCGCAACAAATTCAAAAGTTCTTTTTTTTTTTCTATAATCATTATGTCACATTCAAGCACAGGCAAGGCACTTATATATTATTTTCATCAGCATTTTTCTATACACGTATTATTTTTTCTATAATCATTTTTTCCCTAAATTTGTTAATTTAGTAAAGTGACAGTAAAAATTGGTTAGGCATTTTAACCTAACAAGTTTGTATACTTTAACACTTCCCATCCATCCTACCAAGCGGAGTCTTACAATGAATGCTAAGGTTTCAGCTCAAATATCCGCAATGATGTTAGACCTCGTCAGTATTGCACACCATACAGAAGTTAACAGCAAAACTTCACTCACCAGCCTCTCCAATATTGTTCAGTCTGTTCCAACCGTGCTCTGTAGACATAACTATGGGAAAAAACAAAATTATTTCTGTTGGACTTGGAAAGGCATATAGTTAATATGACACAAATACTTACCATTTCTTTGAATCATCATACTTTAAAGTGGTAGGAATGGATACACGAGCAGAGTCAATATTTCTTAAAGAACCTCCTCTAACACTCCATTCAATCTGAACATGTTAATTTGCCATTAGAACAATAACTTCAACAAAGTTGCTTGAAGAAAATACAATTCAACTACATGCTCACTTTATGTGACATAAGATCTTGGCTCAGTCTGATCGAATGGCAAGCAGTGCATTTTCTCTGTATTCTGAACAAACAGCCTACTAAAGTAAAAATCAGGTTGGTCTAGAGGGTTTCCCTTATTTCTGGTAAAGTTAAGTAACTGCTCTTGGTGTTGGTGCTTAGTGTCCATAAGAACTCTATGTTCTCCTAGCACTCAAAACCAATGGTGATTTTAACTAAAACCTTATTGAGAGCATGAGAACATATATTCTCTACCGTTGATTAATTCTATTCATTTTCATATTTTCTTCTAATATAATTCTTTAGTAGTTCAGCAAGTTAGCAGCTGTTATCTGCTGTCACCTGTATAAGCACATGCAGACCACTACTCAAGTCAGCCCCTCAAGATAGAATTCCAATAATTTACTAGCGCTTCACTAATTGCTCAAATTTCTTATGGTCATGCTAAATAACCCACAATCCTATATCCCATGCATACCACTGGAGTTGAGAAGTTTTTAAGCAGTCTTACCTGCTAATTCCTAGGGTAGGGTCAGGTTTGCCCGAAGCTGGTTAGGATGTGTCTCCAGGGGCCCTCTAAAGGGAGTCTCAAAGGTCGGCTGTAGAAGTGGGACAACAGTCGGAGGCGCTTATCTGACTCTGTTAGTCGTTCGAGGGCTGTTTTAGCATAGGAGGTCCTGGGATTTAATGGCTAAAAGGTGAATCTTTGTTAGGAGTTGAGGTCATATCCTGTGGCATTGCCTAGGGAGCACTCTTCTTCCTCCAAATAGGCTTAGGGAGGTTCTTTTAACGAGGCACCTAAAAATCAGTTAGGTGGGCAGTCACCACATTGACACTGAAATTATTAATCAACAAATACATATAAACTATTCCTAATCAAAATCCTTTTATCATTCATGAGTTGATATATAGCTTGTGTGGATGTTGTTACACAAAAATCTTAATACATTATATGATTGGAGATAGTTGAACCATTCCAGAACCCTTATGTTAATCTGTAATCATGATTCTAATCGAGGAGAAAATGATTAATTGGCCAGGTATACTTTGGCAAACTGGGTAGGAAAGTGTCACAAGCGCAGAATCCAGATGATACTCAGCCAGGTCATAGCCTCTGCCATATTTGTCAGCAGTGAATTCAGAATTCCTACTACTTTGTACTTTCAATGGTTTGTCAAACCCTTCTCTAGTGACACTTTCATTATGGATCACTACTTGGTTACATGACCTTTTTTATCAACAAAATTATAACTTCAGGAACTAGAAAAAATTATTCTTTAGCAGTTTATAGTAAAAATTTAATGTGCACAAATATCCACTCAAATTATAAAGGCTAATGACTCCAAAAATGAACAGCGCAAATACAAACCTACACCAGTATCCACATAAACACATACATATAAGTTTGAAACACAGTACATTTAATCACATCAAAGAGAGAGATGATATACACACGAATAAAATAAAATGACATTCATAAGATAAGAAAATGCTTTTACCGCCTTCTCAATACTTGAAAAGTGCTGCATTCTGCCTGAGAGGATTTTCTGCATGTGAACTAATGATGCCATTGCTGTCCCCTGAAGCAAGTATGTTTGGTTTTAATACATTGCTTTGCTAGCAATGAAACAATTAAAAGATAATTTCAACCAGCCTTTTAAGGGACCAACCTCTACAACATCCACAACCACCAAAGCAGCTAAACTACGCAATGTTTTCTTTGCAGCAATGTGTACAGCAACTGAGCCTCCCATGCTGCATAGCAATGACATAAGGTGATAATGAGAAATTTAACCACTTTGCATTTTTTTCCAGTTCATTCTTTGCAAGAAACATAAAAGTTAAACAGGTGGTTCATTTTTCTATTTGACAATTTGATCTAAATCACCAAAAGACCAACAGCCATTTTATGGAAACATGCCTTTGGAAAATATAGTACATTACCAATGAATAGTTATTCAAAAATTACTCTTTGCTCAAAGTACAGAGCTAAAATTACCAGCTTAGATTATTCAGCTTTCCAAATTAATTGACAAAAATTAATCTTTTCCAAGAAACAACCTTGAAACCGGTTCATTCTTTGAATCCCATGACTCTAAATTATAGGGTTGTTAAAAGAACAAACAAACTTTTGTTAGAGCTAATAATGCATATACATTGTGCACGCACAGACAGAAAAGAGAAAGGAAAAAAAAGTCTAGCCACCCTTTGACAAGTCTCATTGATTAGTGTGCTTGATCAATGATCACTCTTCTTATTACTTGCTTCTCCTCTAGAAAATGAATTATGCACACTGCTATCAAAACTGAAACAACAGGAGAGCACAACCTGTGGCCAACAAGCACAATGGCAGGAGGAGAATCTCCATACAGCACCTTCAGAACAGAAAAAACATCATTGCACATAGTCTGCACATGTAAGATATCTTTAGTTCCGTAGAAGCATCACAGAATGATACAATTCATGGCCAAAGAATTAAAACAACAGTTGGTAGGAAAAATATCATTTACTTC